AATTAAAAATATTATTTTAAAAAAAATAGTTATTCACGGATAGCCACGGTCGTCTAAAGAAGACGGTCAAGGCCGCCTAAGCTTCTAGATCTGGAACGAGGGCTGCGTATGTGGTTGTCCGATCCTCTCCGGATAGCCACAGCTCTCCGTGAAGAAGACAGCCACCGGCTGTCCGGTGGGTGTTTTTTTTTTTTTTTTTTAAATAATGTTTTTTATTTAGTAAATAAAAATAAATTTATTTTAAAAATTAAAATATAAAAGATACGTGTCAACACCACATCAGTTTAACCCGATAAACAAGTCACTTTAGCCTTAATTGAACAATTTTACCGATTTAGGGGATTTGAATGATGTTTTTGGTACTGATATTAGGTGACCAATTGCACTATCCAGTCCCGTTAGGGTGGCAATTAGACCCTTTTTCTGAAAAAATATTGTCCCAAAACGACGTCACTTTATATGGACGGAAAAATACAATGTTTTGATGGGCCAAAAGTTATGATTTTATTATATAGAAGGATAGAAGGATAGAAGGATACAAAAAGGAATATACTAAAACACTTTCAGTGTATAACAAATATTGGACCTTTCCGTGGAATTGCAATTCCTTCCAACCAAACTAAGGAATTTAGTGGCATTTGGAATTATGTAGGAATTAAGTGGGAATGAAATTAATGTACAATTGTATTAAGGTTAGGAAAGTATTATATTTGTATAGGTAGAATTGTACCCGCACGGATTTAGCTCAATAGTTCATTGGGCAGACTTTGGGAGAAGAATTGTATTACAAATAGGAAAGTGTATGTACTGTAATTCGAATCTAAATTATATATAACCGATTGTTTCCAAATTTTTTATGCAAAATTTTTCGTAATAAATAGTATAATTATGCGTAGAAATAAGTATAGAAGAAATGGATTATTGAATTACCGATTCTTCCTTTTATGCAAAATCTTCCATTTAATTACAAAACTTAAGAAAAAAATGAGATTCTTGCTTTATTTGTTTTCCATCTTTACACAAAATCTTCTTAATAAATTCTAGATATTACTGATTGTTTTCCATTTTTCTTTTTTCAGCGAAATAAACTTATTACTCCGTATTATTAAGTTCTGGGTGGTAAATTATTAATATCGCATTTGTTTCCATTATTTCCGCACAATCTTCCTTATAAATTCTTTATATTACTGATTCTTTTGCATTTTTCCCTTTTAAGCGAAATAACATAATTATTATTACGAGTTTGGACGGGAAGTTAAAAAGAAATATTTTATTTTTATTAATAGTATAGATGATTGATATGTAAAATTTTTCTACAATATTTTATAACAATTTCAATCTAATATAGTTACATTATACAAAGTATTTTTTAAAAAATAATTTTTTAATTTTAATATTGTTGTATTGTATTATGAATGAATAGAAATTTTAATGTAGAATTGTAGTATGAATAGAAAAGTAGGAAACAATATATTCTATTACACTATTTTACAATATTAGAATAGCATTTTGAATGTAGAATTGTAGTACAAATACGAAATTTAATAACAATATATTCTATTAGAAATTGCATTTCACTATTTTACAATATTACACAAATCTTAACACTATTTTTGGGCAAAAAGTTAAAATGAATGATTTTTTTTTATATTAATAGTATATAGATTTTGCACAATTTTTTAAGTACTAAATTTAAAATTTCTCATTATTTATCAAATATAATCTTGAAAATAATATTTTCACTGAATTAAAACAAAAGAGAAAAACCAATATGATCATATGTATGTTTGAATTCACATCTAACACACCCAATAAATTAAAAATCACAAAATCTTGTGTAAGACCATCGTATATATGACATGGACTATTTTTTTTTTAACAAAATTGTAATATATTTTCGTAAATCAATATTTAAAAATTACATTTTAATTTAAAAGTATTACATTGATTCACGTTAGGTGGTTTCACATATGATCAACTATTATAAAATTATGACGCAACCCTAATCAAGTTTGTCAGACTATTAACTTCATTAGTAATCACAAGATTACAAGTTTGACTCCTAGCGGGAGCAGTCTATTGACGTTATTGTTTTGAGCCGGTCAATTATATGAGCAACCTCGACTAGTTTACTTCATTGTGTTCGTCCTTTAATTTGACTTGGTTCACAAAGCGGGATTTATATGCACACCCTCAAGTAGTAGATGCGAATTTCTCTAGTAACTCAGAAAATTATATACAATTAATTTTATATTTTTTTTGGTATTAATACAATTAATTTTATATGATTATATGTCTAGATTCACTTTCAACAAATTTTACATATATAAAATTAATTTTATTGATTATATGCCATATTTGACGCAAACCATTTATGGACTTATTTTATTCATATAAATATTTATAGTATGAAATCGCAAGATATTAAGTTCATATGCATTCCATTTCATTTATTTATTGACTTAATTCCATCACATTTTAGAGTTATTACTACGAAAAAATGGGTAACCCCAATACCTCCATTTTCTTTTTGTTCTTCAATCTGTGCCTAGTTTTTGCATTGTGTAATGCATCAGGAGACGATGAAAGAAAGGTATAACATATTTATTTTTATCGTTCTTCTTGAAATTTTAGTTACTGCTAAAAGAAGCACATGATTAATCGATTACTGATCGAACGAAATGTAGATGGTAGTTTAAATTTTTTTTTTAATCATAAATTAATCTGATCTGAAATTATAACTTCTTACCACCTTGATCGATCATTGTTTATCTATCTTTACGTTGTGACCATTTATGATAGCCATACATTGTGTATATGGGAGCATTGCCATCGGGAGGATCTAAAATATCATTGTCGGCTGTTCATGATAACATTCTGTCTCAAGCAATTGGAGAGTAACATTCCGGATTATCCATTTCTATTATCTAATCTACCTGAAACTTATTAGAATCAATGAGAGTTATATTATTCTTAATTTATATTTGTATTTTTTGTGCTTGTAAAGTTGTACATGATGTTAAAATTATTGTATAGTACTTTATTGTTTTTAATGCTAAATATAACCTTATACCATTAAATATTATGTTAGTGAAATAAGAAATACTAAAAATGAATTTACGTAATTGTATTTACTTTAATACATTACTTGCCAAAATAATTTGCTTAATTAAATATTATATTAAACTAAATATATTTTACTCTATATATGGAGTATTATTTACATAAACAAAAATATATATTTTTTGAATGCTACTAGCTCTATTAGAATGTAGTATCTGTTCATATAACACCTCCACTGAGGTACAAACTCACAATCTTCCAAATGAAAGTTCAACCCGGGTATCATTAGACCACATAGTCCTGGTACGTAAACAAATATATGGTTATTAGAAATATGTATATATAGATCATGTACACACACACACACACATATAAATAAATAAATAAATATATATATATATATATATATATATATATATATATATATATATATATATATATATCTAAAAGCATAATAAGTTCCAATTCAGGTTATACCCCTGATTTTTGTCCCTTTTTTCTGTTAAATTTTTTTTTGTACCTTATGCTATAAAAGTTGTACTACATAATTTTTTGGACAAAAATATCCCTGCTGTTATAACTACTGTTATCTTTCCACACTATTATTACTATGTACATGCATACACAATAATTTTTTCTTACATCCTTCAATAATGGTAAGTTTTAATTCATTTAGGTTTAAATTAAAATGTTACCATAGTTATATATAGTAATTTATCATTCTATAATTTTTACCTCAAAAATATTAATATGAATTATACAATTATATATATATATATATATATATATATATATATATATATATATATATATATATATATATATATATATATATATATATATATATATATATATATATATATACACACACACACACACACACACACACTATTTTTAAAAATAATTAATATAACTAAAATTTTAATATTTAATTTTAATATTGGGCATATATTTTTTGCGCATCGCGCATATAAAATACTAGTATATATATATATATATATATATATATATATATATATATATATATATATATATATATATATATATATATATATATATATATATATTATATATATATATATATATATATATATATATATATATATATATATATATATATATATATACACACACACACATTAACTATTTTAATATAATATAGATTATTTGATTCCTGTTATATATTTAGTCATTATTTTTAAAGTTATTGTAGTATAATCATTTTTTTGAAAACCTGTAGTATAATCATTTTCACATTAAGCATCAATTTTGGAGGTTATATAGTTTTACTTGGGTGAGACATTCTCAGGGATCTTTATCTATTTGATGAGGTGTATCAGATTAATATGAACATGTAATACTTATACTAAAAAAATATAATATTAATCATGAATATCGTGTGTCCCTTATATATGTAAGGGAATTAAAATTTAATACTTTTAGAGAAAAATGTAATACTTTTATATTTTTTTCAAACATATTACATTTTCTCATATAAGTAATAAAAATTTTATTCTTGATTAGTATTATTCATCTTGACCCCACCTGTCTCACGGACAAGGATCCATGAGATGGTCATACACAAGTTTTTGCCTAATTTTGGATACTTATTTTTGTGCAATGCACATATAAATAGTAGTAGTTCTTCATTATTTTCTTTTGATCTCCATTTGTTTGATATACATCCCAGTGAAAGTATAGCACGGCAGTCAAAGATACATACGTATGGAAGAAGCTTTAATGCATTGGCAGCAAAGTTGCTCCCTCATGAAGCTAAGATATTATCTGGTTTGAAGAATTTTAGGACTCCTTTACTTTATATTTGTCTTATTTTTATTTTTATGAGGTTATCAAAATATTTCGTATCATTTTTAAAATTGCAGAAAAAGCTGGAGTTGTGTCAGTATTTCCAAGTATTAATCGAAAGCTTCATACTACACATTCTTGGGATTTCTTGGGAATGCCAACAACTGTAAAGAGAAATTTAAAAGTAGAAAGTGATATTATTATAGGTCTCATCGATTCAGGTAAAAAAAAAAAAAATTATCAATATTAATAACTACAAAAAATTAGTGAACAAAATCATGTAATTTGATTTCCATGTATAACTAGTTAATTAATTGTTTGGATATATTTGATGTTGGTAGGAATTTGGGTTGAGTCACCAAGCTTCAATGATAGTGGTATAGGACCTCCACCTGCTAAATGGAAGGGTAAATGCCAAAAGGGATTAAATTTCACGGGATGCAACAAGTATGTATAAATTTCACCTCCTAAATGGTGCATTTTCAGACACTTTATAGTGTATTTATGCCAATTTAATGGTACATGACTGCACGTTCGCACGGGAAGTAAGATTCGGAACCTGACTATATATATATATATATATATATATATATTTTCGCTAGGAGTCAAACCAGTCTGATAAACTATTTTGGTTATTAAAGGGAAAGTAAAATTGCACATGGCCCTTAATCTTACTATAATATCTTTGACTTATTATTGTTTTCACTCATCTTTGGTTTGAATGATTGAGATTTTATAAATGTGAATTATATTTGTTTATGCAGCAAAGTTATTGGTGCCCAAGCCTTCAGCCTTGTTAATCCCAATAACAGGAGCACTTCCCCCGCCGACTTCGATGGCCACGGCACGCACACCTCTTCCATCGTCGCCGGTTCAATGCACCAAGGCGCAAACCTCTACGGTCTCCTCAACGGAACAGCCCGCGGCGGAGTGCCGGCGGCGCGTATAGCTATGTACAAGGCCTGCGACGAAGACCTATGTAAGGACGTGGACATCCTCGCAGCGTTTGACGCCGCCATTGCTGACGGAGTGGATATAATATCGGTGTCCCTAGGCGCCCCGGCGTCATCTTATAATATCGATCCAACGGCAATTGGCTCCTTCCATGCCATGCAAAAGGGGATACTCACTTCTTGCTCCGCCGGGAATAGTGGTCTGTGGACGACGGTTGAAAATGTGGCTCCTTGGATCTTCACGGTTGCCGCTGCTTCCACCAATCGACACCTGGAGACTCAACTTCAATTGGGTGATGGACAAACATTCTCTGTAAGTCCTTCCCCTCCCCTCCCTCATTAATTTAGGCAAAGTTTCAAATACCCAAAGTATCAAATAGGCTCATTTATTAGTGCTTTCCACCACAAATTAAATTAAGTGTCAAATAGCCTCATCTATCAATTACATTTGTTCACTCACTTTTTTTACAGGTTGTTAATAGGTTACCTATTCAATTATTAAAAATATATTAAAAAAAATGAAGAAAGAATTTCAACCACGGGCTGTCGGCACCGGACAGCCGGTGGCTGTGTATTTCACAGACAGCTGTGGCTGTCCAACAAGGACAGCCGGACAGCCACAGCTGTCAAACATGAGGTCCAGATCTGGACCTCAAACGACCTAGAACGAGGGCGGCAGTCATGGCCGAATAATTTGACACTGACATCTTGCGAAAGCAGTTGTATGTAGACACAAGACGAAGTGTTAATTGTGACTGAGCTATGAAATTATTGGTATTTTTTCCCCAAATTGCTTGAAGCGAGAAGGCAGATTTATTCTTTAATAAAAATTAGTATTAATCTTTAATTTTGAAATACAAGCAGATAGTGCTCCCGCATATGTATAATTGTTTGGAGTAAACCCATCATTTAGAACAGTAGAACCATTGACCTGAAGAAAGTCAATCGAACAAATTTAGCTGGTAGATAGTCCTATTTGACACTTAATTTAGTTCGTGGTAGAAATTGAGCACTTCGTAGTAGTAGATGGCCTATTTAACACTTCTGTCCATTAATTTATTATGAGATTAATTACATTTTAATCTAACACAAACTAATCAATTCCATCTCTCATAATTGTGTGAAAGGGAATTTCTATCAACTTAGTTGACAGCGGTCCACTCCCACTTCTAAATGGAGAACAAGCAGATATAAGCATGTAAGAAATTCTACATTTAACCTTCTTTATTTTTTAATCATTTATTTTAGTGAGATGTCTAAATTTATTTATTTTATTCTATAAATTAATTAAATGTTTGTTTTTAAAAGAATTATGTACTATAATTTTCCATTTTCAACCACATTAATTTATAGATTGGAGGAATATTATGTTAATACAGGACTTGTGACCTCGGTGCACCTAACAAAACTAAAGTGAAGGACAAGATTTTGTATTGCCTGACAAATAGTCGACAAGATCAGTTTGTACAGAGCGCGGGAGCTAAAGGAATTATCTTTTCAACTGATGATTTCTTGGATGTTGCATTTCCCTTTAGAATACCCGCTACTGTTGTTAAATTTTCAGATATTAACGATAAAATTGGCAAATATATCAACTTGACAACGTAAGTTTTTAAAAAATAAAATTTTATAGCACTTATAATTTAATATATTAATATATTATATATAGCATTATGTACACATCGAAATATCCATGCAGGCAACCAACAGCAATGATTCACCCAACAAAAGTTGTCAATATTGAAGAGACATTCGTGGCCTCTTTTTCATCTAGAGGACCCCAATATCGAGCCCCTAATCTCTTAAAGGTCAGAATTTTTTAAATTCTCTATTTTAATTTGATTCTCTATTTATCGATCACGAAAATGAAACCATCTATATTATATGTATATGTACTCGATCTCATCTCACACATCATAATGTTGTTGTACATGCATGTATAGCCTGATATATCAGCACCAGGGTTGAACATATTGGCTGCATTTCCACCTTTGACTTCTATAAGTGGGGATGTAGATGATACAAGAACCTCAGACTACAACGTTTTATCGGGAACATCTATGTCTTGTCCTCATGTTTCTGCTGCTGCTGCCTATGTTAAGTCTTTCCATCCTGACTGGTCACCTGCTATAGTGAAGTCAGCTTTGATGACTACAGGTTAGAGCATCTATATCAGTTATGTATTTTTCATGGATTTTTATGTGCCAACAAGGATAGAGGAAACAAAGAGGAGAAGGAAAAAGGAAAAAAAAATCAACATTTTGACGCATTTACTAAAAAGGGAAAAAAAAAACATGTAGTTGACGCGCCAGTTTGGGTGCTGAATGTGCGCCTAACGTGCACAAAGTCTGTGCTTTGCTGCTTTTTATCTCTTGAGTGAGACCCATTAAAAATCATACCTTGCAGGAAGTAAAATGTAAAAAAAAAAAAAAAAAAAAAAAAAAAAAAATCATGCTCAACATCAACAAAAAATCACCTTTGATTTTTTAATCTGACAAAATCCAACAAAAAACCATTGTTATGAATGCACTTAGCTTTGATGCATCTCAAGTGGTCTACATATAATAACTATTATTTCTTATTCTTTTGAAATAATTAATGTGTTCAGGTTTATGTTGTAACATTATCTTACATGTATCGGTTTCAGCAAAACCCCTAGGGGTGAAGGACAAAGATGCAGAATATGCATATGGAGCTGGAATGGTTGACCCGACAGCAGCATTGAATCCCGGCCTTGTTTTCGACATCGATGAAGCTGCCTACGTAAGTTTCCTCTGCAAGATTGGATACAATGGTTCTAGATTAGTTCAAATAACAGGTAACAAAACTAACGACTGCTCAACAATTTCACCGACAACCGGAAAAGATGGACTCAATTACCCTACCATTAATCTTGATGTCCGACCAAATCTTAACACTACCAACATCGACGGTGTATATCATCGTATTGCTATGAATGTTGGGGACGATTCAGCAACTTACAAGGCGCAAATCGAATCGGAAAAGGGTTTGTCTATCGAGGTTTCTCCCAATATTTTATTGTTCAAAAACAAGAATGAGAAGAAATCTTTTAAGGTTACTTTGTCAGGGAGTTATCCAAAAGAAATTACAAGGCGTTTATCTGGGTCTATAATTTGGAGTGACACTATACACAATGTGAAGATTCCAATCCTGGTATAAGGGCCAAGCTTTCCACCTCCCAATGCCAAGTTACATGGTATTCCTTAACTATTGTAATTTTATATAGAACATATTTCAAAATAATATTTGATTCTCAGTATTATTGATAAGCAATTTAAAAGCTAATTAAATTAGTCTTAAACATAATTGAGTGAACCCATGGGTGTTGTTCATGAGCAAGTAAAAGTCCTTCGGGAAGGGGTTGTGTAGATGTTTAAAAACTTTAAAGAAAATTCTGAGTTTTCCTAGCGAAATTCTTAATTCATCAAGTCTTGTTTGTAGTTGTTGACTCAAAATGTTTTTGTCAAAATTATGTGCAAAAAGAGATTACTAAATCCAGGAGGAATCAAGATCCCTATCCCTATTTGGATTAGGATTGATAAACCTATTCACAAAAAAATTAAGGATCTTGGCTCTATAAAAGAAGCTACTCTTCAACACAAGTATTTCACGCATTCAACTTTACTCTTGTGAGGTCGGAGAGTCATTGAGAAGAGTTGCTAAATTCCCTTAGAAAGTAGTACATGTGTTTAGGTCACAATAGTAGATAGGAAGTATCATCTATTGTGCAATTTCTGATTCCAAACAATGTATTTTCAATACTGAGCTTTTAGTGGATTTAGGCAAATTCTCAATTTGAGAAGTGCCTCGCAGATTAGAGTTGTTGCCCGAACTGCGTCTTAAAATTTTCAATTGGTATCAAAGCCACACTGCTTAAGTTATTAGCAGCATTACGATGGAATTTCCCAGAGAAGGTCTCTCGAATAATTGACCACCTGCCCTAGTTGGTGCTAATTTCTCCTACTGGAAAGCTAGAATGAAAATATATATATTTTGGCACAAGGAGAAGGAATTTGGAATGCTATAGAGAACGAATGGAAGGATCCAGTTGATGATAAAGGAAATCAAAAACCTAAAACTGACTGGAACGATGAAGAAAGAAGGGAGTATGATTTTAATTCAAAAGCAATGAATGTCATCTATGAAGCCGTAAGTGAAGATACTTTCAAACTGATCGCTACCACTGGCATAGCCATAATTGCATGTGACATATTATGCAATCACCACGAAGGAAATACATTTGTTAGGCAATCAAAGTTACAAATGATACAAATAGAGTTTGAAAATTTTAAAATGGAAGAAGATGAAAATATTACACAATTCAGCGCCAGAGTCTTAGGGATTGCTGGAGATGCGTTCAACTTGGGTGAACCCATCCCTAACATATATAGGCTTGTCAAAAAGGTTCTACGTTCACTACCTGAGAGATTCATAATAAAAGTTACGGCAATTCAAGAAAACAAAGATCTAAACGACTACAAACTTAGTGATTTAATGGGAAATCTTCAAACAATGAGCTTGAAATACTGCAAAACAAAAAAAAAATAATGGCAAAGGAATCGCTTTCCAATCAAAGCAGGAAGAGAGTCCAGAAGTTGATACCAAAACCATGGAGCAATCAATTGTACTCTTAACAAAAAACTTCAACAAAGTTCTCAAAAAATTAAATAGGTTTAGAAACAAGAAACCTCTTGTGACACCCCGGAATTTAGACTCGAAAACCCAAATTGAATTCCCCAAATAATTCCTAAGGATGGATTTAATCCTCCTAATTATACTTCTAACGTTTTTACAAGTTTGGCCTTAAATCTAGTTAAGGGATTTATTTTGGCCCAATCCCTTAACAATTAAATGGGACCATTTGGGTGGACTCATATTTAATATCTTTTGGACCTTAGTACAAGCTTAAAAAGGGTATATCCTTCCTAGACTTTTATAAAAAAAAAAAAAAAAAATAGTAGGCCTGAATCCTAGGCTATCTAACTTATGGCCCAAGCCTTATCCTACAACCTAATACACTCATCATGAACTCCTATCACTTAGCTAGAATAACTCTCAAACATTTCAGCTCACCTTACACACCTCTCCACACGCCATTTTCCACTTCTCCACCCTAGAAATAGTGTTCTTCATTTTCTAACCAAGAAGACTTGGCAAGATTCCACCTTTCACTCTCACCAAGCATAGGAAGGGTAAGTAATAGGTGTTTATAGTCTTTGTTTTGTAGTTTTTCATTTATATCATCTAAGTCTTTTTTTCCCTTGTGGGTTTGGGGTTTATGATGAATATCACATTGAGGAGGACTTGCAAGAGTGATCTTGGAGGGTTGGAAGGTTTTCTAAGCTAAGAAAGTAACCCTATGTCCAACAAAACCTATTTTCCTTATAAAATGTGTATTCTTGATGATCATGTGTTGTATGAGCATATTCTTGTGTTTATGCTATTATTAGAGCTTGCATCTAGGTTGTATGATGTTATTTGATGAGTCATTCCTTCTACTCAAGTCATATTTGTTGTTGATGTGAGTATTGGTGAGTTTGGACTTGGACTTCATATGTTTGGCATTTTTCCCGAAATCCATTTTCTCTACAGGTTCGTGTACTGAGCGGGTACTTCGGGCGGGTACCAATGCACTCGCCTAAAGCACCCGCCGGTGCTTGGTTCAGCAGGGGAGGGGGGGTTTGGATCCCGCCGGAACCACCCACTGGTACGCCATGGGGGATTCAGCGGGACCTTTTCCACCCGGCAGTACCACCCACTGGTATGAATATTGTTGGCTTCCATTTTGTTGTTTCCCCGAGTATTTGCGTGTATTTATTGATATCTCGTAAGTCTAAAGCGGTGTATTATGAACTCTATGGTTAGGTTATAAGTCTTGAATCGTGGTTAAGGTCCAATATTGTTATTCGTTGGATTATTGATGAAATCTATGATGATCGTATGAACCTTTGTGCTTATTCCACTACTGAAAATTATGGAATTTCCGACCACCTGAAAGTGATCCTAAATTAAGTTGATACTAAAAAGTGGTCGGAAATAGCAACAAAGGTTTTTCCGGATACCAAAAGTGGTCGGAACAAGACTTTTGACTTGATTTAAAATCACTTTCAGGTGGTCGGAAATTTCATAATTTCCAGTAGTGTTCTTTGACTTGTGAACTAGTAATGTTGTTTCTTGATTGCTAGTACGATTCCTTGTAATAGCCTCTATTTGACTCTTGATTGAATTGACCACTTGAACCTATCTATCGTTGAATCTTATCGTTGTGAACTTGAAACCTCGTTGTACCTTATCGTTGTGAACCTCTTGAGTTGAACTATTGATTGAGTTTATTCATTGTTGAATACATGCCTTGTGGAATCTACTCCTTTGCTTTGTCTCATAGGATTCCTTATGTATTTAACTCTCGTTGCAATGGTTGAGCTGGTACGGTGGACAGTGTGGGGATTTCCTAATGGTTACTATTTTTGAAAACGGGTCTTTGACCCCGCGAAAAAATATATATTTTGTCTTCGGACAGGGTCCCCTGACCCCGCAAAAAGAAATTGAATCGGGTCTCAGACCCCGCGAAAAGAATCTATACATTGTCTTCAGACCGGGTCCTCTGACCCCGCGGAAAGAATTGAATCGGGTTTTGGTCGACAGATAGGAGAAGGCGAAACGTTTTTTTTATTTTTATATGTAGGGAGGTTCTGCTAAATGTTGGGCTTTTGTTTATTATTGTATTTAGACTTTAAAAATGGATTGTTTATGGGCCCAAAATATTTTTAGTAGGCATTTATATTTCGCAAATTATGTTGTGCAACCGAATGCACCTTGCAAGGTGCATACGGTTGCAAAACGGCGCCGTTTTAGTTAAAAAAACGCGCGTCCCACTTAAAGAAGAAATCAGGTTTGATTCTCGGCAATAGCATTTTTATATATCCAGAAATTCATAACTATATATCCAGAAATTCATAACTATATATCCACAAATTCATAACTATATATCCACAGTGAATGAATGAAGTAAAAATCCACAATGAATGAAGTAAAAATCCACAATGAATCAACTAAATATCCACAATAATTGAACTAAATATCCACAATGAATGAACTAAATATCCATAAATTCATAACTATATATCCAGAAATTCATAACTATATATCCAGAAATTCATAACTATATATCCACAGTGAATGAATGAAGTAAATATCTACAATGAATGAACTAAATATCCACAATGAATGAACTAAATATCCATAAATTCATAACTATATATCCACAAATTTATAACTATATATCCAGAAATTCATAACTATATATCCACAATAATGCTATTGCCGAGAATCAAACCTGAATTTTTTTTTTTTTTAAGTGGGACGCGCGTTTTTAATCAAAACGACGTCGTTTTGCATCGTATGCACCATGCGCATGATACATTCGGTTGCACAGCATAAGTATTCTTTATATTTTAGTTGGGTTAAATTTATATTGTAAATGGGTCAAACTGTTGTATTTTAAGTTTAAATTTTATGTATGTATATAAGTTTTGTAGTATTCTTTTTGGATCTGCAAATTTTAACGTTTTGGATCTTCTTTATTATTCCATATTGTTTGGTCATTCCTATGGTGGCAAATTATATTATGCACCGCGGTGTATAATCGATTATGCACCGTGCGTCTTTTTTTTTTTTTTTTAAATAAAAATAAACAGTGTTTGTTTTCGCCGTTTTGCACTCTTTTGCAAAAAGTAACTCTGTTATTCAGTGTCATTTTGTATACACTGCAGTTTCAGTTCAACACAACTACAGTTTTATTTCGATATAACTATAGTTTCATTCGATATTTATAGACTCAAATATGTGAAAATGTTATTTAATTTTATTTTATATACACTATATTTTCATTAAAACACAACTACATGATCATTTTGATATAATTACAGCTTCATTGTACAATATACACTCAAATATGTGAAATGTTATTCAGTTTCATTTTATATACACTGCAGTTTCATTTCACTATAACTACAGTATCATTTTGATATAACTGTAGTGTCGGTTTAGATATACTATAGTGTCAGTTGGTGTTTAATACACCAAACAAGCGGACTCCGTTAACTCTAACGGCGGGCCGTTTCTTTACTTAAAGAAACGGCGCCGTTTTTTACCGCGGT